GATCTATGATAAAAAAATTATGAGACCCAAACTCTACTAGACTTGAAGTTATCGGACCCTAACCTAAACCCAGACCTAGACACCACCTATTACCAACCCTAGCTCGATTGAATGTTTTTTGAGAGAGCAAATTCATTTTTAAGGGGTGGGCTTGGATACGGTTTCTTTATTTTAAGCTTTAAAACAGAGAAAACTATTTCATCTAAAGATTAATTTTTATTCTAACTATTTTTTCTAAAAATTAATTTTAATTCTAACTATTTCTTCCAAAAATTAAATTTTATTCTAAATTGTTTGTATCAAACAATAGAAATAAACAATTTCTCTAAAAAACTATTTCCAAAAATATAACCCTTGGGATCCAAACAACCCAAAAACAACGCATGAAATCCAATATTCTTGGAGTGGCTAGCCATCTAAGTTACTTCACTAGTAATAGTGAACCAAGTCAAATGGTTGATTTATTTTATACATCGAAAATGTATGGATCTTAAGTCACAATTTCCCTGAGTGCAGATTTAAAAAACCAATCCGTGATTTGGATCGAACATCGCAAAACTGATCTGGATCTATGAATCGGTTGTCCGAATCTCCATTTTACTGAAGAAAAAAAAAGTAAACCGGTGAAAAGACGTGCAAAAATAGTGAATCGGCTAAAAACCATTTCGGATTGGTGAATCGGTGTTTTACTATAGCAAAACACCGTTTTACTATAGCAAATGCTCAGTTCTCATGTAGATCCTATTGATTTTCTATATATTGACAGAATCGGCATGGGTTGATTGATTCTCGAGTCGAACTGGGTGTTTCTGTGTTGACCAAGCAGTTTTTAGTCGCTAGTTCTCTTCTAGATCTCAAGCTTGACCTTAAAAGTTAGGCGTTTTTTTATCAATTTTGGCCAAATTGCGATTGGATGTAAAATCAGGCCACTGAGGTGTCCCATTGACAAAGGCTCAAAGTTAATATTCTATAATAAAATTTTGGGTAATTGTCACAAATATACTTATACTTTAGCTTAATTGAAAAAAAAAAAAACCCAACTTTCAAAAACCTCGTCTGCACTCTTTTTTTTCATTTTTAGGTTTTTTTTTTACAAAAATAACATTCATGGTAGTCGTTTTACTGTAATTCATATTAAGTTTTACGGTAATTAAAATACTGTAATAACTTGAAGTAGTATTACGATAATTAAAATACCGTAACAACTTGGAGTAGTATTACAGTAATTAAAATACCGTAATAACTTGGAGTAGTACTACGGTACTTTAAATGCCGCAATAAATAACATTTTTTTTATTGTATTCTTTCTACTGTAATGTTTCCATTTTATACGGTACTTTAACTATTGTAATGTTTAACTCATTTTATACGGCACTTTTAATCTCATGTACCCCTCTTTCTCTCAACTTTCCCCATCTATCTCTCTCAATCCCCCCAATAAACCATCTCTATCCCTTTCAATTCTCCTGCCCATCGTTATTTCTATTTCATCTCCATCTGCCCCTAAACTTTCTCTCTTTCTCTCCGCGCCACTTTTATATCTCTCACACATGTAAAACCTTCTCTCAAGTCTCATCTCTCTCTTCTCATCCTCATTGGTCGAGAAGGACGCCATACATGGTGTCTAATTACAGTAGAAAGAATGCTTATCTATTACGGTACTTAAAGTGTCGTAATACTATTTCAAGTTATTACGGTATTTTAATTACCGTAATACTACTTCAATTTATTATATTATTTTAATTACTGTAAAATTTAATATGAATTACGGTAAAATGACTACCGTGAATGCCATTTTCATCCAAAAAAACCCTAAAATGAAGAAAAAGGGTGTAGACAAGGTTTTTGAAAGTTGGGGTTTTTTTTTTTTTTTCAATTAAGCTAAAATATAGGTATATTTAAGATAATTACCATAAATTTTTTGAACTTTGTAATATATGCCAAGTATTAGATTTCCCATAAGGGGCCGTTTGGATACCTAGAAATATATTGTTTGTGAAATATATTACTGGCGTAATACATTATCTACAAATGGATTATTACTATTTGGGTAGTATTTAGATGCAACCTGGGAAATACATTGTTACCGTTTGGTTATGTCTGAAAGAAATATGAGAAATGCATTAACAATATTTTACTTGGACTTGCCTATAAACTATCATTTCTTTCTTTTTTGTCACAAAATTTCACTAAAATGTGGAATTAAAGGCATCATCACACCATTCCAAAAAGATTTTTTAATAATAACATCATCATCATTCCAAAAAGATTTTTTAATAATAACTTGTACTATTCTAAAGTCATCATCACACCATTTCCTACTTATTTTGCATGTATTTTATATTTACATGGAATCACATGTCTTCTAACAGGATTAGACTTTGGTTTCAACATGATAAGTCATTGGAATATTATGATTGGAATAACATATTTTTATTGTGATATGCATTATTTTTATTTATTTTTTATATTGTCTTTCGAAAGTCTCTATATAATTTCAAATAAGCAATAAATTTATGATACTAAATTCAAAATATTTATGGTACAAGTTAAAAACTGGGAAAAAAATTTGATTAGTGAACTAGAAGGTTTGCTAACTGCAATAGAAAATTTTGAATCATTGGATGAGACTAAAGAGATAGGTCATATCACACCAAAATAACTTGTTAAAAAGAAAGAGAATACTTATGTAAACCAATTATTGGGGCTCATGAGAGAGAGAGCAAGTTTAGAGAGGGAGGAGCACCTTATCCAAACCAGTTATTGAGCACCTTATCTAAACCAGTTATTAGGGCTGAAGAGAGAGGAGTTGGTTTAGAGAGGGATGGATGACCTATGCAAACCAATTATTATAGCTAAAGAAGAGAGTGTAAGGCTTACCAATGAAAAGAGAAGTGTCGCTTTGATAATTTCATCAGCAGAGTTTGAGAGAAGGAAAAAAGCAGGTTGGCATTTTTTTAAGTAGAGGATAAGTAGGAGAGAGATGCACGAAAGATTTCCCAAAAATTACCTGTCATGACACGTAATCCATTTCGTGATTTTTTTGGGAAATCTCCAGTAATTTCTGATAATCTCTTTCCATTTCCTTACTATTAAAATTGGGAAAGGTTTCTATGCTTTCCATACACTCCCCTACTATCCAGTCGTCCAATTTTGATTAAGAGAGCCACTCACCGTTTGATCTTAGATCTGATGTCTCAAAGTATTTCATTTTTAGTTGTCTTATACAAATTGTATGAATATGAAATTTGGCACATGTCATCTTCTCATTGGGGCGCACCTATAAAAAATATTAAAAATAAATTTTTGATAAAATATAATGACCAAAATACCCCTTGAATCTTTCAGGGGTATTTTGGTCATTTTATTTATTAAAAATAATTTTTTTTATATTTTTTGCTGGTGCGAGTTTAATAGAGGAATAAACGTCCAAATTTTGGCTTCAAAATAGTTTTTTAAAAAAATTTAAAATAAAATAGTGTAAAAACGTAACATTGTGATTGGGGCAATCTTAACCCTCCATTCAAAATGGACGGTTGGATAAGGGGGAGGATAGAACTTCTATGTTGTAGGGGAAGCATAGAAAGCTTGCCCATTAAATTTTACCTAAACAGTAGAAATGTTATATTTTCTTGTATTCGTATTGTAATGTAATAGATTTCCATATACCAAAAAATGAAAAAAAAAGGTGTAGACGAGGTTTTTGAAAGTTAAGAGTTTTTTTTCCAATTAAATTAAAATATTAGTATATTTACGATAATTACCTTAAATTTTTTGAAGTTTGTAACATATCCCAAGGTATGAGATTTCTCATAAAAAGAAAAATGGTATTGTAGCATAAATGGCATATCAATAAAGTATGGGGATAAGCACCAATACCTATAAAAAGAGGCTAAACATGAATACAAGCCAAATAGCCATTGTTCCTAGTCTTATTTTCATTATGTATTTGTTTAACATCCCCTTACCCCTCTCTCTCTCTTGGACTCCATGGATGAGACCATACGCAATACAAACACAAAAACAAACATGCACAAAAACACCAAGATCCGATCATGTATCATTTTGAAAACATGAGTACAATTTCACTATGCAAATTTGAAACCTTCAATGTACGGTCAAATGGTTCTTGAATTGCCAATTAGGATTTTCCTTTCTCAAGGGCGTGGATTCAAATCCCACTATCAAAAGAGATAGTAAAATAACAATTTTTTAAGTAGCGTATTTTCTCGTATCAAAATTTATCCTACATTTAGCACGATTCTTTTTCTTTCCTCTACTATTAAAAAATCCAACAATACCATGGATGTTACTCTCTCATTGACCAAATAAAATGTTAAAACTACCATAGGGATCCTTGCACACACATTGAGCCAACTCCAAATCCACCGCTCTCTCTCTCTTTCTCTTCTACTTATCCAACATTTTGAAAACGAAAATTATTTTATGCAGAGGGTATCACATTTCTACATTTGCAGTCTCAAAGGTATGAAGCATCTATCTTAAAGACGGCTGCAAATAGGTAGTCCATCTAAAAATAATGCATCCATATTAAAGTTGGATGCAAATAGGCGGTCCATCTAAAAATAATTGAAACTAATAGTCCAAATGTTTTTTTAATAAAATTATTGTTTTTAGTTTTTAAAGTTTATTTATTTTTTTATATTCATGATCTCCATGTTGGAGATTATATATCTTTAAAATTAGGTAAAAAAAAACCATCTTAAAAATAGATTTTTAAGATGTGACTCATTCTACATGGACTCGTAGAAACCGTGTCCTTTTCAAAAACATGGTCATGGACTGAGGTTCAAATATATCAACAAGGCAAATCTCCCATTCTCGCCTACAATTTGTTCAATTTGCTGTGGAGGTTCTTGAGATATTCAGAATTAAAATTTGGGGCTCTTTAGGCAGAAAAAACCATAAATTAGGAGAAAAGGACTCTAGCATCCTCAACTAATTTCAAAAAAAAAGAAGAGAATTTCAATTTTCCCAGAATGATGAACTCAGTTTCAACACAATTAACACTCATGCAACTTCATCTCAAATACAGATACAAAGGGAAAAAATTTGCAATTTTCAGTTGCAATCAGCCATGCTATTTACACCAAAGGAAGAGAGAGAGAGCTATGTGATTGCTTCCATGGAAATTCACTAATAGTCTCCAATGCCGGCCTCCACTTCATTGATCTCTGCCTTGTCAACAGTTCAGGCTTATTATGATCACCCTCTCTCATTTCCACCCCTTTAACCTGGGGCGAAAACAAGCAAAATTCACCAAAAATTGGGAAAATTCTTCCAAAATTCTTACCCCCACTTGGCTTAGTCACCTCTAGAGCCATACCGGCAAGCTCCTCCATCTCTTCTTCGCAAAGTACAGAGTAAAGTTTCTCCATTGGAAATAAGAAATAAAGTTTGCATCCCTCTAACTGTTCATCGGCGGGAATGGCGGGAATCCTGCGACCCGATTGGAGATCACCGGAAAAGCAAACAAAGTTTTGGGGATTCTCTAGCATGAGCTCGGCCACCCTTATGGGCCGTGTATACTCCTCTACCCTTCCATCGACGCGCATGACTTTCACTTTCCCTGAAGAAGTGGTGCATATGATGGGAGTGCAAGATGTTATGTGATTGCCCATTTGTTAGAGTGGGGAAAAATGTTGGTCTTTCTCTCTGTAAAGGATTTGAGGGAGGATTCTGCTTTTGATGTATGGATTAAGAGAGAGATCTTATTTGAAAACACTTGCCTTGGGAAAAAAGCATTTTCCCGAAAAATGTCACGAGAACACACTGGGTTGTGGCAATTGGCCTCTAGCATGAAGTTAAGAAGGGGTCTGTATGGTGGGTGCCCTCTAGGGATTTGGTGAGGGGTCACTTTTATAAAGAGATTCTCATATGGAGAGCACATGGGAGGGAATGGACCAAGGTTTGTTACAAGATGATGGTTGGCTATCATACAACATGGAGAAGATCTTATTCTATGCTTTAAATTAATTTTTTTTTGGTATTATAATGAAAAACTTCATATAAGGTTGCAACCTTAAAATGTAGAATTAAAGGTGCACCTCAAAAATCCATCATAAAAGGTTGTTTGGATGATAGAAAACCCTGTAATTGATCATCTCGACATCAAGATGTATGAATATGAAAAGGAAAAAATATTTCGAGTCCGTGAAATAGTATATCTTGCAACACATTATTTGGACCATCCATTTTCAAGATTTTCATGTGCTTATAGATCTATTTGATTTGATCCATTTTTAGAATTTAAAATTCTATAATTAGATATAAAAATAGATTTTCAAGCCATCCTAAGAATTTTGTATATCAAAATTACATTTATGATAAAATTCAGAGGTGCGTCTTAATTGGATTGTTTTAAATAGCAACCTTATGCAAACCACACCCTAACATAAATAATGTGGGCCAACGCATGGATTTATTGAGGTTTTGGAATCATGTTAATAGCATTGGACGGCATAGATTCTTCTAAATAGATAACTGGCCCTCTTCCCACAATCGTCCACTCAAGAACACAAAATCTCAACCGTCCATGAAATGATAGTAAGCCCAAGCTGCATAAGACTGGAGGAATTAATGATGACTGTTTGGATTGTATATTTAGTGGCTCCAAGTTAGTTGGCATCTCAGTATGGGGTCCCTATCAAGCTGAAGTTGAGACAAATATTCATATACCCCTTCATTTGTCATAAGTCTTTTAACATTTAGGGGGGGTCTCACATCATTTGCTCTTGGAGAACGGCACCTAATTTGGTGATTAGAAAAGTAGTCCAGAGTTGGGTTTTAGTTGTGAGAATCATGCCATTTGAGGTCAGCTCTTTCACTTTGTAACCAAGGGTGGTTGTTGAATTGTCAATTAAGCATTCTAGTTTGATTACACAGGAATCCACTCCTCATTAAGGCGTTTGAAACTTTAGGAAAGCTTTTGATTACAAGCAATGTTGTTCCTAGGATCGACTTTGGGTCTGATCGATCGTTGGGCTCCATGAGTTAACAAACCCTTGGTTTTGAATCGAAACTTTATTATGCCGAATTTTGGTTACGTTAAAACTTGGTTATTGAAACAAGATACCCAAATTATGCAAGTCTCATGTTTGGATAATCTGTTTGTATAACCCGATATGCTATTGTAGGTCGTTTGGCATACGAAAAAAAGTCCGACAGGAAAATATTTATAGAAGAATATTTACATATATGCAAATAGTTTACAGAAAAATTACTTAAGCATTATTTTCCCATGTTTGGTTAATGCAATTGGAAACATGCATCAAACTTGAAATTTTGAGATAGTTTATCTCTCTAGAATTTAAAATCTGATATAGTTTCTCTCTCTACAAAAATTTGAAGTTTGAGATAGTTTCTCTCTAAAAATTTTGAGACAAATTTTCTCTCCAAATTTTTAGAGATAGTTTCTCTCTCTAAATATTTTCTCGTAGTTTCACTCTCTGAAATTTGATGTAGTTTAAACATTTTGAGACAGATTCTCTCTCTAAAAATTTGATATTTGAGATAGTTTATCTCAAACAATTCTGAGACAATTTTTCCCTCCAAAATTTTTGAGACAATTTCTCCCTCTAAAAATTTTAGGTAGTTTGTCGCTCTAAAATTTGGTATATCTTCTCTCTATCTAAAATTTTAAGATTCTTTCTCTTTCCAAAAATTGAAATTCGAGATAGCTTTTCTCTAAAAATTTTTAAGTAGTATCTCTCTCTAAAATTTGATATAGTTTCTCTCTCAAAAATTTTAAGATACTCTCTCTCTTTAAAATTTAAAATTTTAAAAAAATTCTCTTCCTAAAATTTTTGAGATAGTTTCTTTCTATAAAATTTTTAGGCAGTTTCACTTTCTAAAATTTCATATAGTTTCTCTATCTAAAATTTTAATATAGTGTGTCACTCTAAAACTTAAAATTTGAGATAGTTTTTTTTTAAAAAAATTTGCGATAGTTTCTCTCTCTAAAATTTTTTACAGTTTCTCTCTCGAAAATTTTAAGATACTTTCTCTAAAATTTGAAAATTGAGATTGTTTCTCTCTCTAAAATGTTTGATAGAGTTTCTCTCTCTAAACAAACTCAAGTAGGTTCTCTCTTTAAAATTTGATATAGTTTGTCTTGAAAAACTTAAGACACATTTTCTCTCCAAAGCTTGAAATTTAAAATATTTTGTCTTTACAAATTTTTAGGTAGTTTCTCTCTCTAAAATTTGATTAAGTTTATCTCTCTAAAATTGTAAGATATTTTCTTGCTCCGAAACATAAAATTTGATATAATTTCTCTCTCTAAATTTTTTGAAATAATTTATCTCTCTAAAAAATTTCAGATAGTTTCTCTCTATAAAATTTGATAGTTTCTCTATCTAAAATTTTAAGATACGTTCTATCTCTAAAACTTAAAATTTAAGGTAGTTTCTCTCTCTAATATTTTTGAGATGGCTTTCCTTTTTAAAAATTTTCTAGTAGTTTCTCTCTCTAAAATTTGATATAGTTTCCCTCTAAAATTTTTAAGATACTTTCTCTCTCTAAAACTTAAATTTGAAATAGTTTGTCTATCTAATTTATAGGGATATTTTGATATAATTAATTGTATGTGATAAAGTGAACGGTTCCGGTGTATGAAAATAGTATTATCATCAGTTGTATTATATTATATTCTTCCTCTCATGCTTACACAAAGTCATGTTTTGGATAAATCAACTTTTTCTTTGGCTTTGTGTACCATGTTTTGGTACTCTTTTTTTCTTATGGATAATGTGATTATGGGTCCAAATAAGTTGTTTTAACATGTTTTTTTACAAAATACCCTATGCATAGAAAACATGTTTTTGGATACCCTAGGATCCAAACGACCCTTAAATGCTTCTTGTTTTGTTTTCCGCTTTGCATATTGGGGGAATGGAGGAGGGGAAGAGAGAGAAAAAGACAACACAGGAAAAGGGGAAGAGATGATAATAACCTTCCTATTAGAGTGAAAAGGGATCCATGATGGCTTGAAAAATAAGAAAAGATCATTACTTCATCGGAGATCATACCCTTGAAGTAGTGGTTTTAGATTTTAAAGATTTCAATATTTAAGGGTGGGATGTGACTTAATCTTCGCCGTCTAATTAATAACACATTAGAAGTCTAAGAAAATGTGGTTAGATCAATAAAAAGAAGAGAAGTTTACATAATCCCCTCAACCAACATGTAATCCACAAATAAACCCCCACTAAAAAGCTCCTTTAGCTAAAAGCCAAGGATTGTTTTATTGGGCTAACTATTTAAGTCCTCTCACAAAATACGTATGCACACAAAGGAAAGAGAAGAAAATCCATTAAAAACAATGACGTACAATATTCTTCCAAGATATAAGTTCTCTCTCTTGGCCCACAAGTCTCTCTGAGGTACAATGATCTTCCAAGAAGCAAGAGCTCTCTCGGCCTCTGACTTATTCTTGAGGTTTTTCTCTCTCTAGGTTTTCCTTCTCCACGATGCTTCTTCTCTGTCTAGGGTTATCCCTCTCAAGGTCTTCTCTCTCTAAAAGGATCTTGATCTACCTATATAGGATCTCTCTCTCTCTCTCTATTCTACACCAAGAATAGAGTTAAGAGGCACACACCATCTCATGGGGAAAAGATTATTCTTTTTTTAGTTTTTATATATCCTCCAAAGACTTGCCTTGCAAGTCCTTAGCAATTTTCCATAATAAACCCCTATCAATTGGGGAATACCATGGAGGTCCCTCCCACATGGGAGGGGAGAGAGAACAATCCATCATATAGGGGATGTTCTCCTTCACAAATTAACTTGGTGCTCAGATGGCACCCATGCTAGCCATACTTTTGCACTGTTCCTATTTTTCTCTAGGTAAGATTATGATCATCACATCTGATATATTCTTGTCAGTATGGATCTTCTCTAGCTACATTAACTTCTTCTCTAGGACATCCTAAATCTAATGGTAATGCATATCAATATGCTTCATCCTTGAAAGGAAGTTGTCAGACTCGCTCAAGTGGATAGCACTTTGACTGTCACAATGGACGATATACATGATTTGTTTTAAGCCCAGGTTTTAGAGGAATCTTATCCTCAACATATCCTTGCAGCCTTCTTTGACTGCAATGTACTCTGCTTCTATGGTCGACAAGGCCACACACTTCTGCAACTTAAGATACCATGAAAGAGCTGGCTTACAAAAGGAACAAATATCCCAAGATTGACTTCTTGGAGTCTATATCTCTAGCCATGTATGTGTTTGTGTACCCTTGGAGATTAGTTTTACCTTCCCTAAAGAGTTCTTCCCAGTGTTAATTGCCAGGATTGTCGATGAATATGCTCATTACTCCAATTGCATGTTCGATATCTGGCCTTATGCACACCATGACTTACATCAAACTTCCTACGGCCGACATACATGGCACTTTCTGTATTTCTTCATTCTCATTCTCATTTGAAGGGCTTTTCTTAGTACTTAACTTGAAGTGACTTCTAAGGATCAAATAGGTTTCACCTTGTTCATATTGAACTTTTTGAGCAATTTCTTAATGTATCTTTTTTGTGACAACCATGGCTTCCTAGCCTGCCTGTCACGAGAGATCTTCATGCCCAGGATCTGTTGGGTAAATCCCAAGTCTTTCATGCCAAGGCGTTACTAACTTTTCTTTCAACATGTCAATCTTGTTGATGTCCTGAACGACAATCAACATGACATTAACAAACAAGAAAAGGATAATAAAGTTACTATCAGAGAACTTCTTGATGAAGACACAATAGTATGAGGCTGTTCCCTTGTAGT